AGGCATATGGGGAGGTGGAGACCTAGAAAGCCCAGGGGAGAGGGAGGGTGAGACAAGGGGAGAAAAGGAAAAGGCAGGAGAAAAAGAGAAGAAGTGGGGAAAGTAAAAGAAGACAAAACCCTAAGAGAAAAAAAGAGAAGGGGAGGAGAGCAGCACAGAAAACCAGGCCAGAGGTGACAGACAGGGACTTCAGCCCTCCCAGGGCCTCCCTCCTACCTGCCCGACAGCAACAACAGCAACGGCAGCCCCTCGCTTACCCTCAGATGCCTGCTGGGTCTTAGGGCTGAGGACTCCCACAGCTCTGGCCAGGCGGGCTGCGTATGCCCAAGAATGCCGTGGACCTTCCTGTGTAAGCCTGGGTCCCGTCTGGGCTGGTCTCCCAAACAGCCTGGCCCCTGGTCCCTGGGTGGGTCTGAGGCTGCGTTCTCTTGGAGGTTTTGGGGCCCAGGTGTGGCTTTGCACCTGTGATTTATGTCTTCAAGTTTTATGTCGTGCGTGTGTGTTTCTGTGTATAACTGTGGATCTGTCCAGGAGGGAACAGGACAGAGAAAGAGAGAGAGAGAGAGAGAGGAGAAAGGAGAGAGAGAGAGAGAGAGTGTGTGTGTGTGTGTGTGTCTGTCTATGTGTGTGTGTCTGTGTGTGTGTGTGTGTGTGTATGTCTGTACCCAGCTCTGGTCTCCTAGAGGCTTCCTGCTTTCTGTCTCCTCCACCCGCTATAGCCGTGGCCAACACACACACTTCCTGAAAACACTGAGAAAGCGAAAAGTCACCCAGAATCCCCCGGGGCAGACACTTCCTCCCCGCCCCCAGCCTGCACCCCCACCCAAGCTGGGATGAGACAACCGACAGTGTCCACTGGTCTTGCAGGCCCTCACAGGGTGGAAGCCCAGGAAGTCCTGACTGACAAGTCCTGGCAGTGGCCTCTCCACCACTCCACCCGCATAAGGAGACACAGAGAGGCTAGGAAAGAGGCTCTATGAAGGGCGCAAGTTCTGGCCTGGCAACAAGTGATCAGCCTCCAGGAAGACCAGGGATTGGCTGGACTGCGGGGCAATCAAGGGCACAGGAGGGAAGCCTGGCAGTGTGGCTCCAGCTGGGCAGCTGCCTTCTGGGCACACACTCCCACTTCCTGAGGTGCCTCCAGGCATGCAGGTATCAGAGAGGGACACCAAAGGCCGGAGCAAGCTGGGAGGGGATCTGCAGCATGACCCTGGAACCTCACATCAGAAATGAGCCCTCTGCCACCCTCAGGGAAGCTAGTTCACAGGGCTCATGTCTGCGGCACTTAGAGCTGAGTAGACCTGACCTGAAGCCAGGAGGCAGGGTCTGGACACTGGCTTCCCCTCTGCCGGGCTGGGTGACTCTGGGCAAGTTTCTCAGCATCTCTGGAAACCTCAGCAAGTTCCCCACCACGAGCTTAAATTAATGGTAGGGGGCCGAGTGCGGTGGCTCACACCTGTAATCCCAGTGCTTTGGGAGGTTGAGGCAGGAGGATTGCTTGAGCCCAGGAGTTCAAGACCAGCCTGGGCAACAAAGGGAGACCTCGGCTTTACAAAAGATTTAAAAATTAGCCAGGTGTGGTAGCACACACTTGTAGTCCCAGCTACTTGGGAGGCTGAGGTGGGAGGATTGCTTGAGCCCAGGAGTTCAAGGCTACAGTGAGCTATCATGGCACCACTGCACTCCAGCCTGGGCAACAGAGCGAGACCTAGTCTCTATTAATAATAATGACGATAATAATAATGGCAGGGGGTGCAGACTCTGGGGGTGATGTAGAGTCCCCCCAGGCCAGGCAGAATGATGAGACTGGTTCTGAGAGTCCTGGGCTGTGCCAGGGCTAGGAGGAGGAAACTCCATTCTTGCTTGTTTCTGATTTGCCTAAACCTTGGTCTGTGGCCTAGAACCCTATTGCAGCCTCGTTCCTCCCACCTGTCTCCTCTGAAGACCTCTCCCTTCCTAAAACATCTGGGATGACATAGGTTGGGTCATGGGATGGGGGACAGGGAGCTGGGGCAGTGAGCTCAGGGCCCTATGGCCCAGCTGTGCTGAGGGCACTCACTGGGTGCTGAGTCACATGCATGTTTACCCACATGCACCCCAAGCTCAGCACATGGCAGTACACAGGCTCACGTTGGCATTCATCGACTCACCCACACGATATACTTCCCAAGGGCCTATTAGGCACCCACTACTGTTCTAGATGTTGGGGATTCTGCAGCAAACAAAATCGACTAGGATCCTGGCCCCAGTGGAGCTGCCATCCTAATGGACTCACCCTCTTGGCAGCACATGTACACACATGTGCACACACTGGCTCAAGCCTGACAGTGCACAAATAACACAAAGGCCATGTACTGCTCAAACAGCACATGCACACCCACAGATGTACTCACACACTGTTGGGGTCCCCACCACAGCAGTAATGTGAGCACGAAGGTCCCAATAAACTCACATACACACCACTCCATGTCACCACTGAAACTACACAAATCCTTACATGCTTCCACATCTTAGTAGCACACACTCTCAGAACCTGTCTGTGTAAATGCACAGACATTCTACCACCCTAACAGCTTGCACTACCACCCACACCCATCCGTATGGGTGCACATACAGATTGGCCCAGACATGCCTCACACTGACTCAAGACCCTGAGAGTACATACATGCACACGCATCCACCCCCAAACTCCACTGGGGAGCCTGGAGATGACTGGCCTCAGCCACCACATGACCTTGTGTGAAAGGCCCTAAGGTTGAGAGAGTGAGTTCCCCATCACAAGGGGTTGCAAGCAGGGGTAGGAAGGCCATGTCATAAGACACTGTGGTGGGACTCCCACAAGGCGGGAGTGGGCAGGAGCAGTGTTCTTCTACATGCCATGGAGCTGGGGGTCACAGGAAGGGACTGAGAGGGGACAGGGTGGCCAGTCAGGGTCCGTGTTGGCCCCCACCCTGATCACTACAGTACCCAGTCTTGGCCTGGTATACACACATGAGGCTCTATCTGCTGTGAGTTTTTTCTACCACAGGGCTTTGAAGACCGTACACTCTCTGAGCTGAGTGTGTACAAAGCTGAGGACTGCAGATGCCCATGACTCCAACTGCCAAAGACCCCAGGACACAGGAAGCCAAGCTTGGTAGCTTACCTGCTACCATACTCTGCTGTTGTAAGGAATAGTCCCAAATTGCAGGAAATAATTTTCTTCCAATTCTCTTAGCACAGAACAGATTTTGGGTACTCGAACTACAAGGAGCCAGACCTCTTCCTGACCATGGGGCCTGGCGTCCTCTTCATGTGGCCTAAATGGCTACGTTCAGACAGGCTCTGAGAGTAGGGGCTGGTACCCTGGGGCCCTGGGGTGTGGACAGAACTTCCTCCTACCCAGCTAGCCTCCTGAACTCAGATGTCAGTGCCAGGAGGGCCCAGAAGGCTGTGGAGGACCACAGAGGGCACCTGATGGGGAAACAGGCCCAGAGGAGCAGGTCCTCATCAGAGTCACAAAGCTAGCTGGGCCCGACCCAGGCATCCTGCCTCCCAAGCAGGAATCCAGGCCTCCACTGCCTGTCCGGGAGTCACAGGAAGGGCCTGAGAGGGGACCTGGCCAGGACTCTGCTTCTTCCCTTTGTTCACCCACTTCCAACCCCAGAGACAGACAGACAGACAGACTTTCTCTCCTCTATTCTCTTCTCTCCTCTATCCCCTCTCTCTCTCTGTCTCTTTCTCTTTCCCCGAAGCTAATGGGGTTGGAATAGAAAACGCTCCTGCATGCAGAAGCATGGTCACTAGAGGGCGCAAGGGCACCAGGAAACTTCTATCTGAGCTTCCATCCAGGTTCCTGGAGAGACCCTATACCTGTTACCAGTTGTGTGAACCCAGGAAAAGCATGTAGTCTTTTTGTGCTTCCACCAATCAACCCTCAAAACACCACAGCACTAGCTTGGCCTTCAAGGCCCCCTGACTTAATGCTCCTCCCTGGGTGGGAAGAATCTCCCAGACCCTCCCCATGAGGCCCCCTGAGTATGTCCTTGGTATCAATCCAGCCAGGGCCCCCTCCCTGCTGTCCCTCTGATTCGTTCATGTCCTGCATGAAGCCAGCACACAAATCTCCCAGAAGGTCTGCTGCAGGGATCATGGAGACCATGGAAGCACAGAGCCCAGCAGAGTGCCCAGCAATAAACAAACAGGGACCAGGAGACCTCTCTCCACACAACCCTTCTTCCTCCAAGAAGCCTTCCAAGATTAGCCTGATTTCGCCCAAGTGTTCCACCACATCTCCCTCACCCCAAACACATACCTACCCTGTCTGCGGATGCTCCCTGACAGCCGGGCACCCCAGCAGATGCCAGGAAGGGAGGGCGTCTGTGAAGGAGATTAACATGGAACATCCACAGGAGACAGGGGAAACTCAAGAAAACACAGGGTACCAGAAGCCCCGGAGGGGAAACAGTTCTGAGGAGGGAGGGCATGCCGGATGAGGCCTGAGAGTGTCCCAGGATTTGGTGACATTTGGCAGTGGGAGAAGGAGAAAGGGTGTGAAAGAGCACAGCACCAGGACCTGGGCAGTCCCCTCACCCCCAACCCCACCCCACAGCTTTCCGTTTCCTCCACATGTTGCCTCTTGATGTCCAAATGCACCCTGATGCCCGGCAGTATCTCACACTTGCCAGGCCCCAAGCTGAACTCGACTTCCTCTCAAATTCACTTCTGTCCTGGGGTCTCTGGATCAGTGATGGCATGACTGTCCACCCAGTCACCCAAGACAGAAACCTGGAGGCCTCACTGGCACACGCCCAGCAGCCCAGGCACTGCGCTGAGCACCTGGACAGCTCTCCCCTCCTCCCGAGTCACCGGGCAGCTCTCCCATCCTCCAAGCTTTGCACACGCTGTTCCCCTGGCATTCCGAAGCGCCTTTCTTACCCCAGCACCAAAGGCCACAAACTCCATCTACCCTCTGGGATCCTCTGCTTGTGTGCCTCCCACCCTGGGTGGCATCCACTCACCTCAACAGCAGGCGGGGGGGTCCGGTGCGGGGCGGCACGGGTGGAACACTCAGCTCTGCCAAATGCCGCTTAGCCGGCAGTGGGGGCAGCACAGGGTCTGGGGCAGCTGTGGACGGAGTGGTGAAGCAGGTGGGCGGAAGGCAGCTCCTCCGGGGTGGGATGGGTGGGGCAGTGGGGAGCCCCTCATCCTCTGTAGCGGTGGGCAGCGGCTCGGGTGGAGTGGCGGGTGCAGGTGGTGAGCGGAAGATGTGGCGCTTCATGGGCACAGGCCGTGGGGTGGGGCGGGGTGCAGGGGCTGGTGGAGTATGGGCACGGAGCAGGCCAGCCAGGATGCGGCGGCGGTGGCCAGGGAGTAGCATGCCCATGTCCATCAGGCGGGCGTCGCTGAGACCTTGGCACTCAGTGGCCCACACCAGGCCATGCTGCTCAAAGAGCCCCGTGTACTGCTCCAGATGCAATGCCCGCAGCCACTCGGCCACCGACAGCGCAGCATCCCCAGCCTCTGCCATGGTTCCTGCCAGCGGAGGCCCAACTGGCCTGACTGTCCAGAGCTAGAATAGACAGACAGGCACAGGTCAGAGGCAAGGCTGCCGAGGAGAGGTCCCCTCACCAGCAGTCTGCATGGCTCTCTCAAGCCATAGATTCAAGTTCTGTCCTGGAGCTTCCTCCCCTGTGCTCCATGTGCTAACAAGGCCAGGTACTGCCAGGTCTCTGAACACAAAGGCTCTTCTCTCCGCCTGAACCTCCCCAACCCTTCCCCTGTGCTATCCCAGCATCCAGCTCACGTTTACTTCTCTAGGAAACCCTCCATGATCTCTGGGGTTGGTACCACCCCACACCCCAACACACAGCCTTGGCCACTGCCGCGAGAATGGCCAGTGGCATGATTGGTGCTGTGTCTCGTACCTCCTCCTCACTGCCCTCTGCAAGACCCAGGGCAAGGCCAATTCCTCTGAGGCACCAGTTCCCAGTGAGGGCCAGACCAAGGGCTTAATGAGCATTGAAGTATACCACTGCTGGTCCCTCCTGCAAGCCCAGTCTGGGGGCTGAGACTAGCCTCCCCCTACCTCCATGCCCCTGGAGGAAGTGAAATGCTGTGGGAGGTGAGTAAACCCAGCATCACATGGCCTCTGGGGGCCTGGCCCTGGAATTGGGTAAACCCTCCCACTAAGGTCATTCATCCATTTGTTCTTTCAAAATAGCCTGGCACTAGGCAATGGGGACTCAGGCTCTACCCCTGCACCCTGTAATCAAGAGCTCCTGGCCTGGTGGGAGTCAAGAGGTGATATGAAGAGAAGGTGACCAGAAGAGATGATTAGCAGATCAAAGGGAAAAGTCATCTGATCATCTCCACAGACACTAAAGAGGCATATGATAAAACTCAATATCCAGCTTACTTAAACAAAAATCTTACTAAAACAGAAATAAACTGATACCTTCTTAAATGAGAAAAGGATATCCATTTTACTGTTGTTATTATTATTCCTCACATTGCCCTGAAAGTTCTGGACAACAAAAATAAACAAGAGGTATTAAAATCAGAAAGGAAGAGATAAACTATCCATTTGTTGCCAATAATATGAGTGTTGAGTTTGAAAGCCCAAGAAGCTCAACTGAGAAACTATAACAACCAGATAGTTGGGTTCAAAATTAATATAACAGACTGGCCAGGCACGCCTGTAATCCTAGCACTTTGGGAGGCCAAGGCGGGTGGATTGCCTGAGCTCAGGAGTTTGAGACCAGCCTGGGCAATACAGTGAAACCCCATCTCTACTAAAATACAAAAAATTAGCCAGGTGTGGTGGCAGGCGCTTATAGTCCCAGATACTCGGGAGGCTGAGGCAGGAAAACTGCTTGACCCCAGGAGGCAAAGGTTGCCATGAGCCGAGATCATGCCACTGCACCCTAGCCTGGGCAACATAGCAAGTCTCCGTCTCCAAAACAAAACAAAACAAAAAACAAACAAAATTAACATAACAGAAATCAACATTTATAGGCAATAAACAGGTAGAAACCAGGATGAAAGACTCCATTTACAAGAGCATCACAAAATAGAAAACACCAAGAATAAACTTCCTAGGAGATAAACAATAGCAATAGGAAGAAAAATTGGGAGTGTTACTGAGGGACAAAAAGAAGACCTGGACAAATGGCAGAGCATAGTAAGTTCTGGATAGAAGACAACATAAAGAGATTAATGATGTCTAAGTTACTTTATAAATGTACACAATCCAATTAAATATGTACACATAATTTTTTTGAAGCTAAACAAGCTGATTTGAAAGTTCATATGGAAAAATAAACAAGCAGGAAGAGTCAGGAAAATTCTGGAAGCAGGGGTGGAGGGTGGGGAGGGTAAACAGTAGGAGTCAACCTCACCACATGTTAAAACATATTATAAAGCCATAATGGTTAAAACAGTATATGGTTACAGTGCGTGAACAGAACAATTAAACAGAACAGAAAGTTCAAAAGTAGACCCAAATACATATACAAATTTAGGATACACCAAAAGTAGCCTCTCAAACTCGTGGGGAAACAAGCAGTTATTAAGTTGTTGGGACAGCTGTAGAGCGCTCTCAAAAAAAACTAATGTGGATCCCTATCTCACACTTTACAACAAGAAAAATTACAGCTGGATCAAAGATTTCAGTATTTTAAAAAACCATGGCCAGGTGAGGTGGCTCACACCTATAATCCCAGCACTTAGGGATGCCGAGGTAGGCAGATCCCCTGAGGTCAGGAGTTTGACCAGCTTGGCCAACATAGCAAACCCTTGTCTCTACTAAAAATACAAAAAATTAGCTGGGCGTGGTGGCAAACACCTGTAATCTCAGCTACTCAGGAGGCTAAGGCAGAAGAATCGCTTGAACCCAGGAGTGGAGGCTGCAGTGAGCCGAAATCACTGCACTCCAGCCTGGGCAACAGAGAGAGACTCCATTTCAGAAAAAAAAATAAAAAATAAAAAATGAAAGGATTGACAAAACCATCTTAGGGCTGGGTATGGTGGCTCATGCCTGTAATCCCAACACTTTGGTAGGCTAAAGCAAGAGGACTGCTTGAGGCCAAGAGTTTAAGACCAGCCTGGGCAACACAGAAAGACTCTGTCTCTACCAAAAAAAAAAAACCCTGAAAATTAGCCAGTTGTACACTTGTGGTCTTAGCTACTTGCGAGGATGAGGTGGGAGAATTGCTTGAGCCTAGGAGTTCGAGGCTGCAGTGAGCTATGATCACACCACTGCACACCACTGCACTCCACCCTGGGCAACAGAACGAGACTGTCTCTAAAAAATAATAATAATAATAATAATAAATCATTTCAGAGAGTCAAAAGCCTTTTGAAAGTGAAACAAATCCAGAAGGTACACAGAAAAGACTTAAATATTCAACTCCACAAAAATCAAGCATTCTTGTGTGGTAAAAAGCACCATAAGCAAAGCCAAGAGCTAAACAACAAACTAGGGGATATCTGCCACTCATATTGCACACAAAGGGCTCATTTTCCTCAAAGCTGAAAAGCATGCAGAAATAAGAAACGGATCAATCATCTAACAGAAAAATGGGCAAAGAGTATGAATGAAAAAATTTACAGAAAGGAAAATATAAATGGCTCTTAAATATCTGAAAAGGAACTTAACCTCCCCCATACTAGGAAATATGAATGTAAAATATTCTGAAATACTGCTTTCTACCTATCAGACTGTGAAAGAGCAATAAAGTTGGAAAATACAGGCACTGGTAATGGGGTAGGGCATCCCTTCCCTGGCTGTGGAATGCCTCTAGGCGTGAAAGCCCTAAGAGATGTAGATGTCTGGGCTAGGCACGGTGGCTCACACCTGTAATCCCAGCACTTGAGGTCAGGAATTTGAGACCAGCCTGGTCAACATGGTAAAACCTCATCTCTACTAAAAATACAAAAAGTTAGCCGGGCATGGTGGCAGACACTTGTAATCCCAGCTACTCGGGAGTCTGAGGTGCAGGAGAATCGCTTGAACCCAGGATGTGGAGGTTGCAGTGAGCCGAGATTGCACCATTGCACTCCAGCCTGGGTGGCAGAGACTTTGTCCCCCCAGCAAAAAAAAAAAAAGAGATGCAGATGGTTGACCCAGCCACCCATAGGCATTTAGCCTGCACTTTTACTGGCACCTGCCAGAACTGACATATATAGAAGGTTACTGGCTGCAGTGCCTCTGTTTAATTGCAAAAGAATGGAAATAACCAAAATGGCTACCAATGGGAGATTGGTTAACTAAATTATGGTATAGTTGTGCAAAAGAATACTGAGCAGCCATAAGGATGAGGAAACTCCTTACATATTGGCATGGGATGATCTATAAGATACACTGTTAAACGAGTAAAGAAAAGTGCAGAACAGTTTGTATAACATTTTCTCTCTGTGAAAAAAAAACAAGGGAGAGCATGGAGCAGTGTGCAGCTACCGGTAGGTGAACAAAGCATCTCTGAAAAGACACATGGGGGCAAGGTGACAACAGTTACCAGCTTCCTCCTAGGAAGAAAACTAAGGCCTGAAGGGACAGGAGGGAACAGTGGAAGATCCAGAGTTCATAGGGCCTGAAGTTCATGGAGCCTGAAGCTTACACAATTTAGGCGCCCTATGATATGGTTTGGATGTTTGTCCCCTCCACATTTCATGTTGAAATGTGACCCCCAATGTTGGAGATGGACCTAGTGGGAGGTGTTTGGGGTCACAGGGACAGATCCCTCATGAATAGCTTGGTGCCCTCCCCACAGTAACAAGTGAGTTCTCACTCTATTTGTTCACATAAGAGCTAGCTGGTTAAAAGAGCCCGGCTTCTCTCTTGCTCCCTCTCTCGCCATGTGACACGCCTGCTCCCGCTTCGCTTTCTGCCCTGACTAAAAGCTCCCTGAGGCCTCACCAGAAGCTGAGCAGGTGCTGGTGCCATGCTTGTACAGCCTGCAGAGCCATGAGCCAAATAAACCTCTTTTCTTTATAAATTACTCAGGGTATTCCTTGATTGCAATGCAAAACAGACTAACACACTCTCCTTAAGAGCATCTCACTTTTGCAAAATTCACAAAAACACATGACCACGTGCACACACTGTTCGGGCCCCTCTTTACATCCTGGAAGGAGCCCTGCACCTCAAACTCCAGCTTCCCTGGAAATGCACTTCTGAGGAGAGGGAGACTTTTCACTTCAACATTATAAAGATGTCAGTTCCTCCAGGGTTAAGCTAAAACTTTAACACCATCCTAACTAAAATTACCAACTGGAATTTGAGACCAGCAGATTCTAAAGTTCATATACAATGATATTAAAGATGTGTTAAGTGGAAAAGCAAGATGCAGAACAATGTTATGTAAACATCTTGGTTAAAGAAAAAGAAAAAATATACATGTTATATATATACGCAAATATAAACAAAGAAAACTGTACGGATATATATGACTGAGTTTGGGGAGGGGAACTGACAGCTGGGAAGACAGGAGACACTATACCCTTCTGTATCTTTTTAATTTTGTATCATTTTCCAAAAACTAAATAAAAATTAAAAGGGAATGTGATAACCATGAATAGAGCCTGAGAATGAGAAAGGGAACAAAACTTGCCAGGCAGGGAGGGGAATCCAATGAGGAGATAACATACAAACAGACCCTCAAAATTCAGCCTGCTGGCCCCTGCCTTGTCCCTTCGTCCCATACCCCCTCCCCGTTCCAAGGTTCCAAGGCCTGCTGGGAGGCTCGTAGCAAGCTCTTTGGGCCTCACCCTCTGCCTCTCAAGCTCAGTTCTCAAAATGGAAAATGGGCTATCAGGTGTCAGCCTCCTTCAAGCCTCCCCCCACCTCAATGTTAAGGCCTAGCATGCCACAGCCAGCCCTGTTCCCACCACTCCATCTCCTGACTCACCAGCTGGGCTGCCAAGGACGCCTGGGTCCTCCCAGAGACAGCAGCTATTCTGAAGGGCTCCTCATCTTGGCCTGAGGCAGAAGCTGCAAGGACAGGGATGGAGGAGAAAGCCCATGAGGCAAGGCCACTATGAGATGCCACAGAAGGAGAGGGGAAGAGGGAGAGGGACAGGGAAAACGAAAGAAGAAATGGGCGCCAGGCACAGTAGCTCACGCCTATAATCCCAGCACTTTGGGAGGCTGAGGCAGGTGAATTCCTTGAGTCTATGAGTTCAAGACCAGCCTGGGCAACATAAGGAGACCCCATCTGTACGACAAAAATACAAAAATTAGCCAGGTATGGTAGTGTGTGCCTGTAGTCCCAGGAACTCAGGAGGCTGAGGTGGGAGAATCACTTGAGCCCAGGAGGTGGAGGCTGCAGTGAGCTGTAATTGAGTCACTGCATGCCAGCCTGGGTGACAGAGCCAGACCCTGACTCAAAAAAAAAAAAAAAAGAAAAGAAAAAAGAAGAGATGGGGAAGAGGTGGAAGAAGAGGAAGAGAAGGAAGAGGGAAGAGGAAAGGATTCAGGGAACCTCATGTTCATAGAAGCTGGCAACAGAAGTCAGACCAGAGGAAGGCCTTCCTGGAGGGAGAAGGCAGACAGACAGGCCTGTCCAGATGTGGAGGCCGCACAGGTGGTAAAGAGGAGTCAGGACTTCCCTACTCTCTGGCCCCGCAAGACCAGTGCTGGGATGTGTATAGGGGCAGACTGTGGAAGGGACAGCCCCAGGAAGGGTGAGGAAGGGACAATGCAGCCCCACGACTAAAGAAGTGTCCCTGACACAGAGCCTGTCAGGAGAGGTGGGGGACCTTAGAGGACCCAGGGACACAGGACCCTCTCCACTAAGCCTGGGGACCATGAAGTGGCCTAAGGGAACAAGTGGGATAACTGAGTCAGGGGCATGAGACCCCAGGGCCCTGCCCCTAAACATGTAGGGGAGGTTGAGGAAAACAGACCAAAAGCGGACGCTTCCAGGTAGAAGGAGAAAGAATAGGACACCCCTAGGCAGGCCACCACCCTTGCTATGCAGATGGCCAGGGCTCTGTGGGGCTAGTGACCAGTGGGGTGGCATAGACAGGTCTCCCTCCCCAGGGCCTAGAGCAGTCAGGTCTGCCAACACTAGGGTTAACTTCAAAACTGCTGTGCTCTGCATAACGGCTTCAGCAGGTATTCATGAACATTTTACATCTTACAATCACATAAACAGGTATTTATCTTAAGTAAACTCCATGATTATCACTTCCTAGGACAGGGCTAAAACAGGTATATATTTTTTAAGTATTTTATTTTATTTATTTTGAGACAGAGTCTCACTCTGTCGCCCCAGCTAGAGTGCAGTAGCGCAATCTTGGCTCACTGCAGCCTCCACCTCCCAAGTTCAAGCACGATTCTCCTGCCTCAGCCTCCCGAGTAGCTGGGACTACAGGTGCGCACCACCATGCCCAGCTAATTTTTGTATTTTTAGTAGAGACATGGTTTTGCCACGTTGGCCAGGCTGGTCTTGAACTCCTGACCTCAAGTGATCCACCCACCTCAGCCACCCCAACTGCTATAATTACAGGTGTGAGCCACTGCACCCAGCCTTATTTTATTTTTGAGACAGGGTCTTGCTCTGTTGCCTAGGCTGGAGTGTAGTAATGCAATCATAGCTTACTGCAATCTCCAACTCCCAGGCTCAAGCAATCTTCCTGCCTCAGCCTCCCAAGTAGCTGGAACTACACGTACATGCCACAGTGCCCAGCTAATTGTGTTATTTTATGTAAAGACAGGGTCTTGTTATGTTGCCCAGGCTGGTCTCAAACTCCTGGTCTCAAGCAGTCCTCCCACTTTGACCTCCCAAAGTGCTAAGATTGTAGGCATAAGCCACTGCACCCAGCCCAAAAGTGAGTATTTAAAAAACAAACTTTAAGTAGCTAGCACTTCAGATGAAAGCGTTGGCAAAAATGGCAGTGCTACTCAAACGACAATTTAAAACAAGAAAAGGAGACTGGCCGGGCGCGGTGGCTCAAGCCTGTAATCCCAGCACTTTGGGAGGCCGAGACGGGCGGATCACGAGGTCAGGAGATCGAGACCATCCTGGCGAACACGGTGAAACCCCGTCTCTACTAAAAAATACAAAAAAACTAGCCGGGCAAGGTGGCGGGCGCCTGTAGTCCCAGCTACTCTGGAGGTTGAGGCAGGAGAATGGCGTAAACCCGGGAGGCGGAGCTTGCAGTGAGCTGAGATCCGGCCATTGCACTCCAGCCTGGGCCACCGAGCGAGACTCCGTCTCAAAAAAAAAAAAGAAAAAGAAAAAGAAAAGGAGACCACATAAACAGTGCTTACTGCATGCCAGGTATCCAAGCACTTTATATTAACTCATTAAAGCCTCACAGCAGCCCTGGGAGGTACATATGATTGCTATCGCTGTTTAAAGATGAAGAAACTGAGATAAAGGGAGGTTAAATAACTTTTCAAAGCCACACACCTAAGAAGGAGGCAGTATGTATATAGTCTAGCCCTGTGCTGTCCAATAGCAGCCAGCAGTAGCCTCATATGGCTGTTGGACATTTGAAATGTGGTCCCTGGAATATGATGTGCTAGATTTTGAACACAGTGGATTTTGAAGACTGAGCACCAAAAAAAAAAAAAAGAATGCAAAATATCTCAATAATCTCCCTATTGTTTACATGATGAAATATATTATTAACATTACTTTCACTTGGACAGTTAAAATTGCATTGTGGCTTACACTCTATTCATACTGGAGACTGTAGCTCTCAGCTTTATTTTTTAGACAGGGTCTCGCTCTGTCACCCAGGCTGGAGTGCAGTGGCACAATCTCTGCTCACTGCAACCTCTGCCTCTTAGGCCCGAGCAATTCTCCCACCTCAGCCTCCCAAGTACCTGGGACTACAGGCTTGCGCCACCACGCCCGGCTAATTTTTCCATTTTTTTTTTTGTAGAGATGGGGTTTTGCCATGTTGCCCGGGCTGGTCTTTAGCTCCTGGGCTCAAGTGATCTACCCGCCTCCGCCTCCCAAAGTGCTGGGATTACAGGTGTGAGCCACCAGACTGGCCATCAACTCTTAACCACTCTTCATGGCCTCTCAAAACACAACCTGAGGGCCGGGCACAGTGGCTCATGACTGTAATCCCAGCACTCTGGGAGGCCGAGGCAGGTGGATCACTTGAGGTCAGGAGTTTGAGACCAGCCTGACCAACATGGTGAAATCCCGTCTCTACTAAAAATACAAAAAATTAGCTGGGCATGGTGGTGGGTGCCTGTAAGCCCAGCTACTCAAGAAGCTGAAGCAGGAGAGTCGCTTGAACCTGAAATGCAGAGGTTGCAGTGAGCCCAGAACACGCCATTGCATTCCAGCCTGGGTGACAGAGTGAGACTCTGGCTCAAAAATGAAACAAAACAAACAAACAAAAAAACCTGAGCACCTGCTATATATAGGCCAGGCACTGTGCTAAGGGTTTAACACAGATTGATAGATGATGGTCCCAACCACCCCCACTAGAATGACAAGGTCTGGGAAACAGGAAACTACTTCTCTCCCTGAGAAAAGCCTGGCTCCCTACTGGGCCTCTCTCAAGTTCCTATTCCTGCACTAAGGGCATCTGGCTAAGTTCAAAGACATGGTGACTGGGCACTGATACCCCTTTGGAACAGCCCTGTTCAAGGCACTGCAAGCATGAACCAGACCTCAGACCTGGACTGGCCCTCCAGGAATCTCAGGCTGGAAGGGATCAGATACCATCATCCAGTAAAAACAGCCTAGGGGGCCCTCAACCAGACTGGGGTCAGGGAAAGCTTCCTGGAGAAAGCAGCAAATTGGAAAAAGTTCAGAGCAGTGCCCTGCTAAGCCACACTGCAGCCTGAGGCAAAGACAGAATCATCAGTACTGGTCCTCTTTTTATTTAAAATGTTAAATGTTTTATATTTTGCTCATCATGGATTTCTGGCATTCATTTTTATTTTTAAATGGCATTAAATATTATATACCTCGATTACTGACCTTTTTTAAATAAATAGTTATTGCTTTTAAATTTTAGGTATCTTTTGTTTGGTTTTTTTTTTTTGAGAGAGGGAGGGTCTCGCTTTGTTGCCCAGGCTGGAGTGCAGTGGCATGATCATGGCTCACTGCAGCCTCAACCTCCTGGGCTCAAGTGATCCTCCCACCTCCCCCTCCCCAGTAGCGGGGACCACAGGATCTCGTGACCAAACCCAGCTAATTACTGAGTTTTTTGGTACCCCCTCAAATTCTGCAACAGGCAAGCGCCTCACTTGCTTTACCCTAATCCAAGTCCTAGTTTGGAGGTTTAAGCCCCTCAGCTGCTATGACACATCACTGAGTCCTCATCCTCAGGAACGCAGGGACCTGGCAGAGGGGAGAGTCATCCTGTTGCGACAGCACAGCCAAGAGCTGAGGGATTTCCCTCCTCTCCACCCCAAGGGCCCAGTCAGGCCTCAGCACCCCCACACCCCCTTCCTGACTCTCCTTCTCTCTCGTGTCCCTCCAGCGTCTCTCTGCTATGCCAACTACGGTCCCACCCCCATTCAAAGCCTTTCCATGGTTCCCAGTGCCTTCAAGCACTCCTTGGTCCGTCATTCAACTTCATTCAGTTCTGACGTTTACAGATGAAGAAACACACACCCCCAGGGAGGAAGTGACTTGCTCAAGTTGTCAGTGACACCCCAACCCCCAGCCAGGCTGGGCTGGCCCTGTCCATGACTTCCTCCATGTCACTTCTCACACTAGGCACTGGCCTGGCAAACAGGGAGCCCCCGAAACTGTCTGCTGACAATGAATGAGTAAACCGCATCCTCCCATCTTCAGGTGGCTCCAGGCCACCTCCTCCAAAAAGTCCACCCTGACTGCCCCCTCAAGCTCCTAGTCCTCTAAGGCTGAGCCCCACATCTCAGCACTGCTTCTGCTCTCTCTCTGGTTGCTCATTTTGTGGGGGTCCACCTCCACCCAATCCCCCATGTATCCTGGAGTATCCTGAGAGTCCATACCCTTTCTTATCTCCTCTGCCATCCACAGTGGTACCCAG